AAACCCCTTAAGGCGGGGGTTTTCCCCAAAAAATTTTTTTCCCCTAAAGGGGGTAATTTTTTTTTTAAAGGGGCTTTCGGGCTTTTTTTATTTTTTAAAGGGGGGAAAAAATTTTTTTCCTTTTAAAACCCGGAAAAAATTTTTCCTTTAAAAAAACTTTAAAAAACCCTTTTATTTTTTCCCGGGGTTAAAGGGCCCCCTCCCCCCCTCCCGTTTTTAAAACCCAAAAAGAAAAAAAAACAAAAGGGGAAAAAACCCCCCTTTTTTTTTCCCCCCCCCCCCCCCCCCCCCCCCCCCCCCCGCCCCGTTTCTCGCGCTTTAAAGTACACCAACCAAAACCAAACACTTGGCGACGATCCATTTGATGCCCTTACCGGACACACCACGAGGGGCATCTCTTCTTATTCGCGACTCGAGTCACCGCTTGACGAACGACGGACGGTGCTGGCAAAAGCGCTCCCCGATTCGCGCGAGGCGTTGAGTCGTAGCATAGATCGTCACATCGATCGTACGTTTCGTCTCATCTTCATTTTCTTTGCTCTCTCTCTCTCCATATATGTATGTATATATATATGTATACATATATATGTATACATATATATGTATATATGTATATTTATATATATACATATATATATACCTTGTCTATCTTGGTCTGTCTTTCTCGCACCAGATTGATCGAAACCGACGGCGGTGGCATCATTCGTCCGAGATAAGGCTTAGGGTTAGGGTTGGGGGCTTGTTGCTTGGGTCGATCGTAAGAATCGCAGGGCGAAGGAGGAGCGGCGAGCCGGCGACTGACCGATCGACCATCATGACGGGGAAGGCGAAGCCGAAGAAGCACACGGCGAAAGCGATCGCCGGGAAGATCGACGCGGCGACGACGAACCGGGGCGGGGGCAAGGCGGGGCAGTCGGACCGGTCGGGTCAGGACAAGGGCGGCCACGCGAAGCTCGAGTGCCCCCTGTGCAAGATCACCGCCCCCGACATCAAGTCCATGCAGATCCACCATGACTCCCGCCACCCCAAGGTCCCCTTCGACGAGTCCAAGCTCGTCAATCTCCACACCACCTGTGTCCCCGAAACCTCCAAGCCCCGCCCCGGCGTCCGCGGCAGCTTCAAGAAATAGCACCACCCCCCCAATTCCCTGCCATCGTCGGTATACTGCTTCTAATTTGTTCCTCTATTTGCCCTTACTTTGCCGCTGCTAGTTACCATTAGTATGACACCTATCATCATCCGCTAGATCATCGACTCTTCCGGACTGTTCTTATCCGTGTGCACTTAAAGGGATCGGTCGTCATGTGTTCCTATGTTTGATATGGCAGTCGAATATAATGTTTGTGTGGTGAAGAGAGGTTAGGACATGTGAATAAGTTGTGATCAGTGGGATGCTTAAACTAATAATGCCTGTGTTATTCCTATATATATCACTCTTCTGAAGTCACTTTTATGCCTCTATTGCCTTGTTTTCTGTTCTTTTGCAGATTTTCCCTGGAAAAGTTGCAATTTTTTTTTAATCTATGTTATCATTGAAACTGGTTCTTGTCTGTGTGGAAACTTTGGTTACAATCTGAAATTTTTTGTAGGCCTTGTGTTTTTATGTTTATAGATCACATCTGCGTGATTGATGCCTGATAAGATAGTCATGTCCAAGTATCTGAGATAGTAATTTTTGTTGGTTAGCTAAATTACACTGGGAAGAGTAAGGATGAAGCTATGTTATGTTTGTGGTGCAAACTGTTTAAAAGGGAACCAGAACGATTTCTAATGGAAGGCTCTGTTTCTCGAAATGATTCTGTGAGTACATCAGTTGTTGCATGAGGTAATATTATAGCAGTGGTATTTGGGATGTTATGATAGTTTCTGGAATCTTGTTCTGCTAAAGTTCTTCTGTGTTAGCTTATAAATCCAAGATCCAGAAAAATAAAAGGAAGTGCAATGATTAATGGAGTTAGGCTTTAAACTCTGATTTTTGGTTTTAGTGGAAGTAAACATGGTAAAGAGCTTTGACTGCTAATAAGCCCCATATCTTTTTGTAAGCTCATCTCGCATGCTCTTGCTTTCATGAAATTCAACAGATGGCAGTGAAGAGACTGGCTTTACCTCATACTACGCTTGCTGAAGGCATCAAGTACCTCGACTGCCCTTTCAGGGCGGAAACCCCTTATGCTTATGAGTTGGAACTTCAAACCAGAAATTACGGCGTTACATGCCAAACCAAGTACTGATACATATGTGCCATGTTGTGTAGTGGCATGCCTACTCTGAATGTCATGTATCGTTTGCAATTGTGAATAGTGAACTTACTGCATGATTAATAGTTATATGGAAGTTGCAATCTTTTATTGGATTTATTTTGCATGAAATTTTCTCTTACATATTCATTTTGAAAAGGTGAGAATCATGATCCTTTATAGTAATGGTCTTTAGAGATGAGTGGGGGATAGAATCTGCTTGAGGATTAGTACCAAAGGATATGAGGTTGTATGAGTTAATTGGACGTGTGATCTGTTAGGCATTATATGCCGGGTGTGCTATGCCTACAATTTGAACTTCTGTTCCTATAGAGTTTTGTCTAGTACTTAATATTACTGGTTCCTATTTTGATGTAGAGCTAAGAGAAGCTTCACATGAATACTATAGATATTATTCATGAAGCATAACTAGGTCCGATTGCACTGTGTCTAACAGAGTATGTAAGATTTTTTGTTTCTTTTTAGTGAGTATTTGTCGAGGAAGAAGAAGAGCTTAACCTGCTTCTCTGTGCGAGCGAAATAGGTTGTATTCATCACATTCAGAAATGCAAGCATCTTATGCACTTCCCATGTAGTTCCATGATTCTTCTGCCACTTATGTGATGCTTCATCTATGGATACCTTACCACATTGTTTGTATGGATTCCACATATCTAGCCTAGCATTGGTTTATCAGTCAAAATTCGATGGGACTCGAGTGTGTTTTTTTACATGTTCTGCGAGGTTAGAAGAATATGGAGAACCAAATGTTAGATTTTGATCCACAAGCTGTGGGTTCAACCTACTTTTTAGACATACATCCTGTATCAAGTGGTTTTCATTCTCCTTACTTTATGAATCTTTTTCAAGTCTTATATGCTTTGATAAGAATTTAATATTAAATACAATTGTGATTCTTGATGATAACACCTTTTAATGTGATGCTGATCATCATTTTGTTGCCAAGGTTCCTCAAATCTGCAAGTTGGATTGTTTGTGGGTTAGTTTCAGATGCTTCTTTATCTCTTTCAAGTTTTCAGCAAGCATGCTTCAATATACTAATAACAATTCAGCGGTTCACATCACACACACACAATTAATGTTTTGGTGCATCGATAATAACCACTGGACCTTCCGCTTTTTTCTTGTATGGTACAACACTCTATGAAGGAATAATCGTGCATTTACCTGAGCTTTCTGTCGAAAAATAACACAGTCCGATAAAGAACAACCTATCATTTTCCATGAGGCAATCCCCAACTGTTCCTTGGCATCCGATGCGTCAGGTGCAGATTGATCGACTCCACAGGAGATCCCTGTAGCTGGTTCCATCTTCTCGTAGCCAGCCCAAGTGACCCAGCATAAGCTGATCCTGATCACAGGCCAAGTAAAAACAAAGTCGATCTCTAATTGAAAAACTATACGGAAAGCAATAGCTAAATGATCAAAATATACAGATACAATAATAATATATGTTTCATGTTATGTCATACCTTTTATCAGCATCAGTATATTAATGGCATCCTAAGTGTAAGGATGATAATGGATCGTATAAATACTATTTCGCTCAGTATTATTGTCCTTGAAAGATCAAATATTTTAAGCTGATCATTATTATTATTATTTTGTAGATGAAAGCTCCGTGACGTACGACTTCACTCGCGATGGACTGACGCGGCATACATGCGGAGGCAAAACGCGCGGCGTCGGAACGGTGCGTCTGCTATGTGCAGCGCAATTCGTGACTCGGAACCTGTCGTGCTCCACCGCCGATTGTGGTTCCGTGTCTCAAGTCGTGCCGTGAAATCGGCGCCTCGCTGTACGAAGGGGGATATAGAAGAAACCCTTGGCCTTGCTGTATTATTCGCGTCGTTCGGAACTTGAGTGAAGGGTGAGTGAGAACCATGGCTAGGGTTTTGGGTGGCTGCAGGGCCCTCATGGCGGCGGCGAAGGCGGGGGCAAAGGTGGAGGCCCCCGCCCCGAAGGCGGCCGGCAAAAGGACCGCCGGCCTCCTCAAGCCGCTCCGCGTCTCCCGGGCCATGGAAAAGTTCGTCGGTGCCTCAGAGATCTCGCGTCCCGGGGCCATTAAAAAGATATGGGATCACATCAAGCTCAACCAGCTTCAGGTCGTAATCCCTTCGTGCTTTGAATTACCTAAGTCCCGATTCTTCTGTGATTTAGGGTTTAGGGGTTTAGGGTTTATGGTTAGTGCAAGATATATTTGGTTCTCTCTCGAATTAGTATTCACTTAGTTCGATACCCTGCTATTTTCCTGTTCTTGGTTGCGGTAGTAACTATTATACCTACTCATCTGCTGTCTAAAATCTGGATAGGAAAAGAAACAGGTGGTGATCTTTTTGTTTCTGCTAAGGAGTCTTGCTTCTATTAAGTATCATATATTCAAATTTTAAGACAATCCTGAAACTGGCATCCGATAGTTCTTTTCCTCCTGCTAGGGAAGAAATAATAGAAATGATGATAGTGTGTGGATCTTATTGAACATTCTCTCAAAAGCAGTTGACACTGATCTGCATCAGATAGAGACTTTAATATCTGGATGTTGTGACTGGGGTTTCTCTAACATTTGCCATCAGCTTTCCCTATTGTCCAAAACATAAGAATATATCACTGAGCTTCCTCCTCTCTATGATGGAAAAATGATGTATTTAGATCCCTATAGAAGATCTTCACAAGAAGTAACAATGCATTACATTACCTGAAATTAGGAAATTTTTATGCTCATTTTGTTGCATTTTAGCCAATTTGGAGGGATTACTCCTTAGAAAAGAGTATTTGCAATATTAGTTTGTCTATTTTTTTCTTCTCCACTAGCAAAAGCTGCAGTATCTCTCATATACAACAGAATTATAATTATTGGTACTAATTATTCTACTAGTTTGTTGATTGGGAAAGGTGATGATTCTTTAAAGGAAAGCCTGTGGCTAATTGAAATGTTCTCTGAGCTGACATTCCAATCACGCTCTTCTTGATGCACAGATTACACAAAAGGCTAAAGACCTTTTGATATGAGATCTTTCCATAGTATTCATGTGATATACCTAAGAGATGTGCAACGCGGTTGTGCGATTGCTGTTGATTAAACATATATACGATGTTAATAGATTTTGCATGTGTATAGCCAGCAGTCTGGTTCTTGAAATTTGTTCTTTGCTGATTACATTTGTAATTCAAATGCAGAACCCATCAAACAAGAGGGAGATTCAGTGTGACTTTAAGCTGAAGAGTATATTTGATGGAAGAGACAAAGTTGGGATGTTGGAAATAGCGAAGCTGATTGCTCCTCATTTCCTCAAGCCTAACTGAAATCAACGGAGTCATATTGGTGTTTTCATGTTTGTGTTTTGCTCGTTGTTTTGGTATCACATAACGAGTAATCAGGATCATTGGCAGTGTTTTTTATTTTGAACTCTCCGCCATCTCCATGAACTATTTGGCTTTTCCGTAATGTGGTTATCATCCTTTGGTTCATCATTTCTCGGATATTGATATGTTTTTGGATCATCGAAGCTTGATACCATTTTAGCTTTAGACTTTTGTCTTTCCAAATTACATCGAGATAGACATGTTTGCAGACTTGATTTCACAGGGTCATGTCAGTCTTCTGCCAGATGCTGGAATTTGATGCCATTTGAAATGCAAATGGTACCACTGAGGGATTTGTGTAAGTTAATTATTTTAGTTTCCTAAACTTGTATGATATCTAAGCTTAAACCATGTAAGAATCGATATCGGTTACGATTTGATTTGAAACCGAACCGTGTATTTTGGATCGAACTATTGACCTGGTTTTTGGTCAGTTCTTTGATTCCAATCGAACTTGAACCGAACTGTGATGCATCACACCTAAGTCGAGACATCATCATCTAAATATTAGAATCCCATGATCAAAAGTTGATTCTAATTGAGTGGCACTACACAAGCCTTGGAATTTTTAAGGAGAGGGGATATATTTGTCAATGGTCCTTCAACTTTTGAAGATAGTGAAAGCACTCTGATACTTAACTGAATATTGCAATGGAGAAAAATCTTCGTGTAACAAATATTGCTAGGAAGAACAGTTTCTTCCTATTCTTTCTCCAATCAAGTAATTAAGTCAAAAGGTGATGTGCCCATTTCTCAAGCACAGATGGAGAACCATACCAAGGCCTCGTTGTGTCATCAGAACCCACCGGAGAGTGATACACACCATCCAAGCTGAT